GGACGGCTATCGCGGATAGCCCTCGTGTAGCTTTGCGCGAACTTCGTAACAAACTATCACAGAACTGGAAGTAACTGCACAGTTCTAAATCTAAAAGTAGCCGTTAGGAGTCCTAGAATCATGCAAGTAACAATATATCGGTTCAGTTCTACCCACGATGTTTCCAACTATTGAAATAGTTCTTACACTAATGGTACTGAACAATATAAGCTATAATTATTAGCCCAGAACATCTAAGTATTACTTGCTTGAAATACTCTGGAAATTTTTTACCTTTGAAATATTTCAATATTGTTTAATGAATCCATTATGTTAACGGTTTGATGTGATAGCAGTAATCTAACAGGTTGTGTGTGGAAAGAACTTAAGCAGGTTATGTGTGGAAAGAACTTAAGCAGGTTATGTGTGGACAGAATTTAAGCAGGTTATGTGTGAAAAGAACTTAAGCAGGTTATGTGTGGAAAGAACTTAAGCAGGTTATGTGTGGAAAGAACTTAAGCTCAAATTCTTATCATAATCGCTTTCTCAAAGCAATTTTCAAAATGTTTCTGTTTTTAGCGCAAAGCTACACAATGGTCTGTGAACCGCGGTGAATCGAACCCAGATTTTAAAGTTGTAAACCTAGGAACCCTGAAATGTCAATATCTTGTGGGAAAACTGCTATCTAAATAGTTAAATAACATATGAGCAGGGGCGATGATAAGGGTGCTGGATGGGGCTGAAGCTACCCCAAAATGTGCCTTAGTTTCCCCTGTAGTTTCTACACCCAACAAACAATGCTTACTGTTAAAGCTGGTTCACTTCTTAAATATTACAGTATGTGTGCGCACGAGATGTCTAGTGTACCCCTCAATTTTTTCCGGCCCACCTCAGGCCCTTTGTCGCGAAGAGACTGGTATCGCCCCTGCACAAGAGTAAAACACTTCTAAGCCGAATGATATAAGAGAACCTATTTCTGAAATTAGACATATATCAAATAAAGAAACTGTTCAAAGCTGTAATAACTAAATATACATTCGATAACAAAGCTAATCCAAGCTGTTGAAACTTGACATACATTCTACAACAAAGCTGACCAAAAATGTTTTCATTGTTCCATACAGTACTGAAAAAGAAAACACAAAACAAATGCATAGAAAACGCCCTCAAGCACACGTGACAAACAATAATTTCTACACCACCTATGGCCTATTTAAAAATACAATTTATTTCAGTACAGGAAACATTCGATAGGAGTAAATTTACCACAGGAAGCGCTGTATAATAACTAATTTAATTTCCCTACTTTGTATTTTGTGTGTGTGTGTTGTTTTTTTTTAATAACATAATCCTATCCTAACAGCGTTCGATAAACAATGTCTTTGTGTTGGAAGGCCTCGTGTGTGGTAATCGTCTGTCTAAATTGCAACGTAACATGAAAACGATTTGTTTTTGATGTAAAATAATCCTTATTTGTTCAACGTAGGTCGAGACATAAATATTTCAAGATTATACAAAGAGGTAATTTTTCTCCTTTCTCTTACTTCTTCCTCGTTAAAAGTTCAACTGACACCGGAAGAAAGGACTGAGTGGTGACTAACAGAGACAAATCCAGCTAGTTTACAGAAAGTAACTGCAGAACAAAACTGTTTCTGTCCTCTACGTCACGTTTTTACAATATGGTGTTCTTTTATGGATTTCTTAGAAATGGTTCAATGGAGAATTGATATTTAAGTTATATAAATATTAGTAACCCCCAGCAGGCGTTGTTAGATAGATATACGCGACTGTTTCGTTTAAATGTAATACAATAGTTATGATTTAGATAGTTATAAAGCACGAGTGTTAAACTTAGTATTTTTAGAAGCGATAATTTATCTCAGGTTTGTTTAGTAACTGTGTACAAATCATACGTTGTATAGTTCATTAGTCGGTGATTATTATATTGTTGCGTCATGTTATTAGAAATGTCTTAGTTTTTCTCATTGAGTATTGTGATATCATAAAGTTTGGTAGTTAGTAGAAAGTTCTAGGTCTCAGGCGACCAAGTTAGTGCAAGTAAGTAAGTTAAGTGAAAGGAAAAGATATAGACCAGGTGATCGTGAGTTTAACCTTAAAGAGTGTATAGTGGCGACTTTTAAAGTGTAATAATCGCAGATTGTATTGTAATAACAGAGTAGAGAAAAATAATGACAAAATATAACATTTATATTTATATTTAACCTTATATCACTTCATATTAAACACTCAGTACTTGGTTGGTCCTACTCGTACTTTAATAACCTCCACAAGGTGACGTGACATGCTGTCGATGAGGTTATTGATATAATCCACTATGATTTCATTCCAGCTTGTCACTAGAAGGCGCTGCAACTCAGCTACAGTAGCTCGTTTCCGTAGCGATTTTCCGGCTCAGTTCTGCTCAACGGTTCTCAATGGGATTACAATCTGGAGACTTTACTGGCCATGTAAATCTTGTAACATCCTCCTGGTCGAGATAATCCTATATCATATGCGTACTGTGGGCACTGGCATTATCATCCTGGAACACAAAGTTATTGGCAAACCTTGCCCTAGTATATGATAGAAATATCGTTTCCATGTGATGCCTGTAGGAGATGCCATTGACATTTCCCTGGAGAATATGAAGAGCAGTTTTTTTTTCACCATGATGAATAGCTGCCGAAATATGTACTACACCATCTCCTGTGGGAAAGACTGTCTTCCCTCATCTGTTCTCCAGGCAAACGACAAACACGAATTCTACCATCAGCTTTAACAAGCCGGAAACAGGACTCATTTAAAAAAGATGACACGTCTTCAGTGTCCTAACTGTAAGTTGACATGCTGTCTTGTCCAAGTAATATGGTGACGGCGGTGAATTATGGTTTATATCGGTTTGCAGATAGCCATTCTTTCAAAATAACCTTATTTGGTCAGCTTCCTATTCACTGTTCTTCTGGATACGTTGGAATGAATATGTTCATGC